GGCGAAAACCCTGGGGCAAAACCGGATGCTGTCACCTTCAATACAGTCATGACTGCTTTTGGAAAGAGCCGACAACCCAATGCACCATACTATGTCGAGGACCTGCTACGTGAAATGCACGAAGAGTACGTGAAAACAAGGGACCCCAGAATAAGACCCACTTCCCGAACATACAACAATTGTGTAAGTGCTATGGTTAGTTTCGCTTCCCAACTCGGGTCATTGGTTTTGCCGGCTGTCGCCTGACTTTTGGCATCGCTCTCTGCAATCCGAACTACATGCAGGTAAATGCATGGGCACAAAGCACTCTTCCAGGAAGCGCAGCCCGTATTATGGAGTGGATTGTTCACATGCAATCGAACGCAGAACGGGAAGGAAGACGATATCTGGGCCCGAACAAATGGACGTTCAATGCTTTTTTACAATCATTGTCCAAAAGTGGAGAGCCTACAATTGGCGAAGATGCTGAGGAAGTATTGAATCAAATGATGGAATACTATCGGAAAGGATGGACTGAACTCAAGCCTGATGTTCTGACCTTCACCACCGCCATTCATTGCATTGCAGTCAGCGGAAAGCCCGATGCTTTGGAGCGTTCGTTGGCCATTGTGAGGCGAATGGAGGACTTCCATGAACAGGGCTTTGGCGATGTTCGCCCGAACTGCTACACTTATAACTGTGTCATCAATGCTGCTGCAAAGTCTCGTCGCCCGGGAAAGCCCAAATTGCCCTACAACTCTTGCGAAGGATGCAAGAGGTAGCATTGCGACCACCCACAGTTACATACAACAATGTTTTGAATGCGTGCGCTTTTGCACATCACCGCGACGACGTTCCAGACGACATACTCGACATAGCAAAAGAGGTGTTTGAAGAGGCAAAGGTTACATGTGAACCCAATTATATTACTTACGGTGCTTATGTCAGAGTCATAAGCAAGTTTGTAAGGGACGGCACAAAAAAGAAAGACCTTGCATGTGATGTTTACCGCCAATGCTGTGAAGCAGGCCAGTTGACGAACCATGTTATGAAACAACTCAGATACGCCCTGACAGCGCGACAATACGCCGAATTGCTCGAAGACGCGGTTGCCGACGAGAAAACAGGTCAATTTCACGAGCGCTACACGGAAAATGCAAGGCGTACGAAACTGTCTTTTCAACAAACTTCCCACGGGCATGGCAGACGTTGATAGGGGCTTCTCTGAAATGCCACTTTGGGTACCAATCATCAATCCCGACCTGCGAAAATACGACTTTGTGGGAAACTCTGCTGCCATCTCACTGGCACTGCATTGGAACCGATTTCCCCGGGGTCGACTCGACTCGTGATCGAACAATGCATCTGGAAATCATAGCTACGGGTATGCTTCCAACACATGATGCTCTCTTGTCAATACTGGTACTACAGTAAGATTGGGAGCTTCAAACGGGAAGACTCTAGCAATCCAGCTAGCTACCCGGTAGTTTAGAAAGGATTGAAACAAAAAGAGGTGATAATCATTGGCACTGTAACTGCTACAACTTTTTCAGGATGTACTTGGCGGCATCCCTCGGATACATTTCTTTTATCCTCTCGTGTTCTTTTCGATGTTTATGCTCGAGTGTGGACCAGTCTCGAAAGGTTTTGAGATGGTTGCTAACAGTACGTGTCTCGAGTTGATATAGCGTGTCTGGTGACTTGGATAGCAGTTCCTGAATGGCCTGTGACAGATCGAGGCACGTCCTCGCGACATCGTAGTGGTCATGCCCCCAGTATGCCTGTTGCAGCTCCAAAAGTTTCATCCCTGTCACGACCATTCGACCGAGGAGCATACATCGTTGTTTGTGGCTCAGAATTGCCGTTGTAGAACTCTTGGCATCCGCCTGTAGCACCAAATCGCAAGCATCCAGGTGGAGCACCAAACAGGGAATGAGCAGAATATGATTGTTGTTTTGGAGTTGTTCAAGGGCTTGTGAAAAGAGCTCGCACAACGACACTTCCAACGCCTTGGCTTGTTCCACCATTTTTCGTCCTGATACTACTGACGACGACGACGACAAAATGGCATTCTTGGTAGTTTGGAACAACACATCCATCTCGGCAATCGCATTTTCAATCCGCGACGTGATGCTATTGTCGTCGACATATTCCTTGGAGGACGGAGGAAGGCCCCCGTTGGTCACCACCTCCATGCGCTGCAGACTGGGTGTCAGTTGCGCGCCAATATCGAATCGATGCTGTTCCCACAAGTGATGTCGACGAGACGCATGGCTAAGAATCCGAGGCACGTAGGAAATGGTCAAGCATTCTCCTGGATTCACCCATCGGGTGGTTCGAACTTCGGAAAATGTGGGTGGCAAAAAGTCATCAGTATTGTCGTCAGTATTGCTGCTGGCAGCCTTTGGCAGAAACTTGACGCAGTTGGGTTGACAGCTGTGGTTGATCATTGCGACGTAGCAATAGAGCCCGGACTCTAGTCCGTTGTATCTCAGAGCCAGCAATAGTCTCAAAATGTCCTTGGTGGAAATAGCGGTGTTGTCCCGATTTTGGAGTGTCTTGCATTCTTGCACAATCTGTGCGAGTAGCTGTGGAGTAGTATTAGCATCAGTATTGGATTGCTGCTGTGTTAGCAGTGACTCCATCATGGTTTCCACTTGCACTGGAAATTCGCTTTCCACGGGTCCATCGACCACCGTTTTGGTGGGATGAAAGTCCTCCAAACAAGCGACAATCTTGGCGGCATTTTCGTGGTTCACTAGACGCTGTACGGATGTCAAGCTCAATGGTTGTCCCAGTTGTTCGTCGGGCCACATCATGAGCGCTTCTTCCAGCAGCACCAGTGTTCCTGGAGCGAGTTGGCGGAGCGCCACAAAGCCTCTGCCGCCTCCAAATAAGGGAAGCGAGGAAACCAATTTTACGTCTGACGAAACATACACGGGACTATCCCAAGCAGGAAAACTGCATTCCTCCAGATTCGTCAGATCCACCAGATCGACTCCTGATCCTTGTCCATGTACTGGAGTGGTGGAATCCGTCGTCGTTGTGCTCCGATCTTTGTCAGTTTGGCACGTTTTGGTTGTTGCAGTATTGGCAGCTTGAAGCAGATCCTGAGCTTTCTTGACGTCTTGGACATTGTTGTCGCCATCACCGTCGTCGTCGCTGTCCCCAAAGGCACCGAAGGGATCCTCTTCAGCTGCCATGGTCCATCAATTATCACAACCAAGCTCGAGATCTCTGAGGTCGGTTCTGGCGGGCTGAGGAGTGCAAAGATATTAGCCGGAACCCTAAATACGGCTTGATCGCATTGGCTTGATCGCCTTGACACAAACTCACAAAAGCCGTTGTTTAGAAGACTTGTCTATCAATCCATCAATCAATCCATTGGAGGCTCATCGACGTTGACAAGGAAGAGGAAGAAGAGATAATAAAAGACAATCATGAAGGTATCAAAGACGACTAGTGTGAGGGAGGAGCACGGTTGTAACATATATTCGATTGCATTTTCACAGGATATCTTGGTGGAAGAACTGAACAACCGAAACAAGTGTTACTATCGAACCTTTTGCTCTTGTGCCGGTCCGTATGTTACCGTATACAAGATACAAGTCTTTGACTTGATCGATGGGGATGTCTTTACTGGTCCGTCGGGGCCCATGCTGGTACATCAATCCTACGTCGATGTTCATCCCGAAGAAGAATTCTGGGCGTGTGCGTTTGGAGGAAGATCCTTTCTACCCACAAAACCCACCAAGCTGCCAGCCTTGAAGAAACAGCAATCCAATAGTAAAGAGGGAAAACCCAAAAAACGAAAAGAACAAGGAAGCATGGTGGAATGTGAAGAAGAAGCCGATACTTCCATGCATGAAGAGTTCCTCAGTAGTAATGACGATGACGACGAACCACTGCGGATAAATCTGGATCAACAACCCACTGGGCCTCAACTGCTTTGCGCGGCGGGCAAAAATAGAACCATTCAAGTCATTGATACCACGCAACAAAAACTATGGATGTCGCTACAAGGACATGGAGATGAAATCAACTGTCTCAAATTTCATCCAATAGACAACAACATTCTAGCCAGTGCATCCAATGACAAGAGTGTGCGCCTCTGGAATTTGCGAAATGGTACTAACATTGCCATTCTAGCAGGACATGAAGGACACAAGGACATTGTACTGGCTGCAGGTTGGCATCCCACGGGAGAAAAGTTGGTCACAGGGGGACACGATAATCTCGTCAAGATTTGGAATATGGAAGAGGGAACTGACATTCACAAGGCCATGCAAGACAGTTACAAGATAGAACTCACACAAAACGAGACTGCAACCACCAAAAGCTCACGACAAAAAGCTGCCAAACGACAAAACCTTGATCTCTCCCAACAACTCGTGCAAGCCAAGGATTACTTCAAACCTGTCATTTGCCAGTTCCCCATTCATTCCACACACAAGGTACACTATCAACCAGTCGATTGTGTCGACTTTATCGTATCACCCATGCTATTGACCAAGGCATCTACCAAAATTGTGCTTTGGTATCCCAACTATGTCAATGAGGAAAATCCTGCCGTGGTTCATCCTGCTCCTGCCGATCTCGTGGCCACGTTCAAGACGTTTGAAATCGCCGACACGCCCGAGGAAGTCTTCTTTTATCGCTTTGCGACTTGTCCTGCTGGAAAATTGGTGGCAGCTGGCAATTCGCAAGCAGAAGTCTTTTTGTTTGATGTCGATGCCAAAAGCAGTAATGCTTTGGCCAAGTTGGTGGCTCATCCCAAGATTGCGACGCATGTGCGAATGACAGCATTTAGTCCCGATGGACGGATACTCTTGTGTTGTTGTGATGATGGGACCATTGCCAAGTGGGATATTAGGACCAAGAACTAGCTACTAGGTAGATATATCTACACGCAACTCACTCACCAGCTAGAACGGGCTCGGTAATGCATTGACACAAGAGATGGTGTGAAGGTCAAAGCGATGAGCAAGGAAGGGAGAACAGCCAACAGTGATATTCGCCAGGAAGTCGAGAAACTCTGACTACTACCGGACTAGCAGATCTATCGAAGTTAAACCGAGCTAGGGTGAATATTAGGGACGACAAAAAACCAATCTATCCTGCCAGCTAGTTCATTAATGACGCAGTGCCCCCCCAGCTAGAATCTTCTACAGTCTGTATGTTGATCCTCTCGCACTTAGCATAGCTAGTCGATCAACGTCAAGAAAGATGGCATGGACTGTCGTCCCACTTTGGCTTTTTGCTGTTGGATCCGCTGCGCAGCCTGAACCAGATGCGATTGCTCCACGACGTCACGCTTTTCTCGAATGGCATTCAAAGCTCCATGATTGACCACATTCTGAAGATCTGCTCCAGAGAAATTGTCAGTGTAGGTATCCGATGCCAGCAGGGTCCAGTCCACGTTGGGTGAGCACTTTGTCTTTTTGGCATGCAACAACAGGATTTCTTCTCGTCCCTGTGCATCGGGGTACCCCACAAATATCTGTCGATCAAATCGGCGCAAAACAGCCTCGTCAATGACATCCAAACGATTGCTGGCGGCAATCACAATCAACGTGACTTGTTCGTCTTTGGAATCGTTGCTGTTCTTTTTGGAAGAGCCAGAATCAAAGCCATCCATTTCGGTGAGTAGTTGATTGAGTGTTTGTTCTCGTTCATCATTGCCCAGAAATCCATCTTTGGATCGCGCCTTGGCCACGGCATCGAATTCATCAATGAAAATAATGGCACAGGCGGGTCGTTGCGCCTCTAGTTGTTGGGAGTTAGTAGTAGTAGTACTCGGAGGAAATCCCAACATGGAGGACCACCAGAGTGCAGATTGTTTGAGTTTTCGACGGTTCAAAGCATCTCTTCGTGCCTTGGCAAAGAGCGACCGCACTCGTGCGGCGCCCCTCCCAACGTACATTTCCACAAAGGATGAGCCGCTCAAGGCTGTAAAGCTATCACAGCGAGCTTCTCCAGCGATAGCTCGTGCCAGTAGCGTTTCTATTGCAAAAGAGGAGAGGCAAGGCAAAACATGAGACAGACACGAACGGAACAAGTCAAAACAAGACAAAGCAGTTAGCATGAATGACAATACTTACTTCCACTTCCTGGTGGACCATGCAAAAAGACTCCTTTGGGAGGCCGTGCTCCCATTGCGTTGTAGAGCGTTGGATTGGACAAGTACGACACGACTTCTCTCATGTCTTCGACAACCAAAGCCAATCCAGCCACATCTTCAAAGGTGGTCCGATCTTCTTTATCGTCGTCACCACTACCACCATTCATCACCAATCCCCACAGCGAGAGCCGTCGGGTTCCATTGGTGAACAATTTGGAGTTGATGTCTTCACCTCCAAAATGAGTCTTCATCATGCGATAGACCAAGAGCAAGTAGACAAAGGGCAACGCCGTCAAGACGGGGGTTGCCAATCGAGACCAAATGGATTCTGGCACGGCCTGAATATCGGTACATCCACCCTTGGTCAATGCCTCGAGAAGACCCGTCTTGAAAGAGTCATTATTGTTGAGTGGCAATACGGCTCGATTCCATTGCAAGCTATGCATATCGGCCGAGGAGGAAGTTCGTTTGGTTTGAAAGAAAATGGCCGAGGATCCAATCATGGCTCGTTGAATCACTCCATCGCGGGCGGCATTCCATAGCAGAGACATGGTCGATGATTGCGGCGATTGTAGATACTCGGGACCGTTCCACCACGCCAGTAACAAACCAATCGGCCAGAACGGTTGCTTATTATTGTCTTTGTTGCTATTATGATTTCGACGGCGTTTCGAGAATCGAAGATAGGCCGTCAAGACAACGGCAAAGAAAGAAACGGCAAGAAGCTTTTTCCTTCGTTCCAATTTTTTCTTAGTGGCAGCATCGGGGCTGACATCCTCCTCTTCTGGTGGTTCAGAGGATCCTTCCCTCAGCAATGCATCCAGCCATTTCCGTATTCTTTTAGCATACGACGAGAAATCATCGTCAGATCTGGAAGGATGACGGCGGAGAGGCGCAATCTCTTGATCAGCCATTGTAGATCAGTTTACTACTAGCTAGCTAGTACCCTTCCTCCTGCTACCGGTAGCTATAGAGTGCTCCTCTAAACCTCTACCTAGAACACAGTTGGGTAACCTTGATGGCCGTGGTCGTTGTGCGGCTCTTGACTCTTGAATTGAAGCGTCGAGGAAGCACGAAAGACGCACAGAGCCTCTCAAAAGGTGACTTCCAAACGGCTCAGCAGTGTTCATCGCGATCGTGTTTCCGGAGGAGTACAGTAGGTAGTCGCTCGAGATCCACCAGAGTGCCCACGCATCATCCAAGCAACAGGCAACCTCCACCATGCTTGATGAGAGGAACTCGATCAATGGATATCATATCCCATTTTCCCCTTCATTCCTTCTTGGGATTGTATTGGCGATAACGAGTTACGGAAGCTATGATATCATGGTAACCTTGCCAGTATGCAGCTGCAACTAACTGTAGTACTTCACCAGTTTGAATATGGCAGCAGTCGATCTTACCAGTACGGTACGTACCAATGATCCATTCGTCTGCTCGGGCGGCGCCCAACGAGGAGCAACATGTGTGGTGCAGATCATGATGCACGAGTTGGGGGAGCCCAATCAACTCTTCTCATAATTCTTGTTTTGAGAAAAACAAATTCGCAATCTAACTATTAGTAAAACAGAGAACGTCACAAACGACAAGCTCACAAAGAACCCACAAATATGATGTCCTCATCCGAACGATCCATGACCAAAGAGGAGGTTAAAGGTACAAGCAGAAGCAACGACGACACGTCCTCGACTTCTATCACCACGGTCGAGCAAGAAGCTCCGACAATCGGGTGTGGTGTTTTGGCCCGATATCCAGTACTCTCCGTCCTGGGCTTTGCCGCCGTGGGCATTGGACTGGGGCTTGGTCTCAGCTTTTGGGAACCAGAGGATCCCAACGACAAGGACACGGTCCTGCAATGGGTAGGACTCATTGGTGACCTCTTTATTCGAGCCCTCAAATGTGTGGTTCTCCCCCTCGTCTTTGCCAATGTCATCTTGTCCGTCGTCGAAATGTTGACTGTGGGAAGGGCCGGTGCGATTGGAGGAAAGACGATTGGATTCTACCTGCTGACAACCGTTGCTGCCTCCATTTTGGGAATCATCTCCATTGTCAGCTTCAAAGGATTGTTCGAGGAAGGGGACTTTGAAACCTCCGTCAAAAGTACCATTCGGCTTGGTTGCGACGGCGAAGGCAGCTTCCTTGCCCACATGCCGGATGGATCTGTGACCTGCACTGCCAACTTTACCGATGATTCATATACCACCTTTTTTCTCCATGACGTTGACAGCACATTCGTCACAACGTCGAGTGGCCCCGCCAATGATATCAGCTTGTCGGATACAATCTACCAAGGTGTCTTTGAGAAACTCATTTCAAATAACATCGTCGAAAGCTTTGTGGAAGCAAACTTTGCAGCTGTCGTAATGTTTGCAATGGTCTTTGGGCTTGCCTTGGGACGAGTTGTCCTCCAAAAGACCGCCAATCTGGCTGATTCCTTTGTCATCTGCTTTCTCAAAGAGATTGACGAAGTCTTCCTTCTGCTCATCAATTGGATCATTAGCATCACTCCCTTTGCAGTCCTCTCCCTCATCGCGAATGCCATTGGCAAGCAAGATGACTTGGCCGGTTCCTTCCGCAATGTCGGGTACCTGGTTGCCGCGACCATTTTGGCCATGGCCGTCCACTTTTGCGTCGTTTACGTGGGTCTCTACACCGTCATGACTCGATCCAACCCCTGGTCCTATTTCAAACATCTCATCCCTGCTCAGACTACCGCATTTGCCTGTGCCAGCAGTGCTGCCACCATCCCCGTGACAATGCAGTCGGTCAAAGCGACTGGAAAAGTTCCTGAGGCTGTGTCTCGCTTTGTCATTCCGATGGGAGCTGTGATCAACATGGACGGTGGCGCAATTTACTTTCCCTGCGCCTGTATTTGGATGGCTGTCATCAATGGCATTGAACCAACATTTGGCAACTACATTCTCTTGGTGATCCTTGCTACTGTTGGAAGTGCTGGGGCCGCCCCGGTACCTTCTGCCAGCTTGGTGCTCATCATCACTGCGTACAACACAGTGTTTGGAACCACTGGCACACCGGAGGGCTTTTCCTTTATTCTCGCCATCGATTGGTTTATGGATCGATTGCGAACCACTCTGAACGTCACGGGTGATGCGATTGTTTGTGGTTTGGTAGCACACACTGCAGCACTTGATACAGCAGATTCTACGGAGGATGCTTCCGATCCAGGAACAAACTCGGACGAAGAGGGTACTTTGTAATCAAACCATTGCTTGGGGCTGACCAATAGCTATAAGTTGCATCCGAAGCCAAGAAACATTCAGACAATGGCCAGCTGGGCCAACGCGTATTCCTTGTAGCTGTTAAACTAATCATGAAAGTTTGTCTTAGATTGACTGTTCAATCCTACGCTGAAAACAACATTGGTAGCCCTGGGACTGGATTGATCAACCACCATCCGCTCATTCTTTACCGCTCTTCGAATGTGAAGTCATGTAATATTTCCAGGCCCCGAACTGTCAAGCTGCAGACACACAAATGTTATCCAACGCTGAAAACAACGGGATGAAAGCCCGGTACCATTCTTTACCATTGTACGAATGTGAAGTCATCTAACTTCAGGCCCCGAACTGTCAAGCTGCAGACACACAAATCTTGTGCAGAGATGATGCTCTCCTTTTCTCCTTTTTGTCGGACACAATCCAGTAGTCTAAAGTCTATGCATCTGGAACTGGAGCAGCAATGCAGCTAAACAAACTGACCCAAAGGGTTCTAGAGTTCCCCCAACATCCCCACCAAGGAATTCACCCCGTCAGCGGCATAGTATGTTGTTGAGTTGACAGCTCTGAACACTGAAGATTGTAGCTCCGCTAAAAACGCGGGATCGTGAATTGTTTGTGTGGTGCATTGAGCAGAACAATGGCTATCTGTCTTTCCGACCCGTCCATTTGGGCTTGCGTTTGTTCAAAAAGGCGTCAATGCCTTCCTTAGCATCTGGATTCAAGAGATTTTCCACCATGGTTCGTTCCGCCACAGGATACGCATCTGTCAGAAGCATCCCCTGTTGCTCACGAAGAGTTTGCAGACCGGACCGAATGCACGGAGAAGACTTTTCTGCAATTGTGGATGCGAGACTCTGTACCTCTTGATGCAACATCCTGGATACTTGTTGCTGTCGTTGCAATTTGTCGTTATCGTCGTCCTCAACATGATGATGGCTGTCATCATCGTCTGCGACAATAATAATCCGATTGATCAATCCAATTTCGTAGGCTCGTTGGGCCGATATCAAGTCTCCCGTGAGCAGCATTTCCATGACGTGTTTTCTACTCGCCACAGCCCGTACCAATGGAACGGCGGGAGTGGAACAAAAGAGTCCAATGCGGACACCGGGTGTGGCAAATTGGGACGACACCGTGGCCACGGCCAAATCACAGCTGGCCACCAATTGACATCCCGCGGCGGTGGCAATTCCATCGACTTGGGCAATGGTGGGAACCGGAAAGGTATTGATTTCTGTCATGACGCGACTGCACAATTGGAACAAATCTTGTAGGCGGTGCTGATAGGCCTCTTTGGATTCGTTGTCGGGTTGGAATGATAATTCCTGGAGATCATGTCCTGAACAAAATACGCCGTTGTACTGGGATTCGTCATCCAGTGATTTGATAATGAGGACCTTGGTAGCAGGATCAGATTTAATTTTCAGGAGTTTTTCCAGCATTGTCGACAGTACGGAGGAAGATAATGCATTACGCCGCTTTGGATTGTTGAGAGCGAGGGTAGCAATTCCATCAGGGATATTGGAGGTAGAAGCCGTGGCAGAAGAAGTGGACAAGGGGTATCTGATTTGTCGGAGGCAATGGTGGCGACCCACTGAAGGTATAAGCACAGCCGAGCATCGAGTGGCAGAGAGCATTATCGTTCAAGTTATCGCAAGAAGCATCAGAGTCAAAGAAGTCTCCCAGGTGCTCCAACCTCTGTCAGAACCTGTGACACCTCCATCATTAACAATTTTGCGAAGAAAAATCTTGGAGCAATGATTTGGGCGCAATAGGCACGCCGGCGAGTCCCATTTGGGATTTCTCGGCATCAGAAATCTAATCATTTTTTGCCAATGGCCAATGGGCGGCAAACCTTGCGTTTTCCCTCCCAGCCCTTGGTTTATGGGTGCAGCAACATGTAGTCCGTAACAAAAAGGCCTGCACAAAAAGCACGCACAAATCCACCACTTTCTGCTGCCATTGCATTTGATGACAAGGGCTCTTGTTGTCCACTGGGGGATAGTCGCACCTTATAGAGGCGCAGGTACCGGTAGCACTAGATAACAGTCAAGAATCAAAGAGAAAAGAAATGTATCTCGAGATAACTGACGAGGAGGACGTGGTCGATGCGATCGTCCAGATCAACTCCAAGTGTGATGAAGGAGACGATGGATCATCTTGCTGTGCCGTGAACCACCTCCAGATTCAGCTCGAGTCACCATTACAACATCTCCCTCCAGCATCCTTAAGGCGTTTTTTTCAAGTTGTGCGAACGAAACTACCCGATACTCCCGTCGAACTACACATTGCGTCGTCTTCTTCGTTAGACGCTTCGGTAAACCCTCCTTTGGGATCAAGCAGCAGACCCAATACAACAAGTACAGAAGCTCTGAGCCTTATTCTGAGACTGGTACCCAATCTACATTTGCTGGAACTGTGCGAGGTGACTCTGGATGGAGGCCCTGATTTGGAAGGTTTCAAGCAGGCCATTGTGGCACAGCAAGGTCTTACACACGTATACCTTCGCAATGTCCAGCATGCCAACAACAACATCGACCTAAGACCACTGGCAGAAGCTCTCTCGGAACTCCCTAAGTTAAAAGCCCTCGAGCTTTACCAGGTCCAATTCTACTCCGATTCGGCGCTCAACGCACAGGCGCTGGCTCTGATTGCTCAATCCTGCCATGCCACGAGATTGGAGATTATGCCATGTGAACGACACAACATTCAAGAACAAGGATTGGCCATTGGGGAAGGGTTGCTGCAAAACACACGGGAAAGGCTACAGGAACTGGCGCTCCTGACCAAGATTTCACCGAAACAGTCTGTCATGTATGAAGATGCCGTGATTGCATCGTTGGCTCGTTTCGTCCTTGCATCTTCCAACCTCCAAAGACTGCAACTGAATGTTTGCGAAACCATCAACTTGGTTCCTCTAGCAGACGCATTGATGCACAACACAAGCTTGACCACCCTGGCAATTTGCTGGGATCGTTGTGCTGTAACAAGCCAACGGCTTCAATACCCATGGAAACACCGATTCACACAAACTGCAAGACAAAGGAACCAGTCTCTACGGCGCAATATTCAGGCTTGGCGGCGCGTCTTGAAAGACCACAACTTTGGTCTGGAACGACTGGACATCACCATGAAAGATTGTCACGGTGTCTTTGGCCAGGAATGGAAAGACTCCGAGATAGAATTCTGGTTGCAGTTGAACCGGTTGGGGAGACAAACGGTGCTCCGAGAGCAATCCAAGGCGAACGATTGGATCTCCACGTTGAGCAAGTGCAAGGACGACACGAGTTCTTTGTTTTACTTTCTCTCGGAACAGCCACGGCTGTGCTTTGAGTCAACAACGGTGTCCACAAGAGTCAATAGTAGTCGGAGGCCAAGGACGGAGATGAAACAAAGTAACTTCAGCGGGCCAAAGGGGAAACGGCAGCGTATCAGATAGTGTGAGGCTGAGGCTGTTTTATATACATGTATTTGTGTGCTACATGATTATCGGTATTTGCACGGATGATTAAAGTTATATAGGCTACAAGCTTTGGGAATTGTTTTGGAGCATCTATCTAAGGACACGTACCGGTACGCAGAGAAAGGCACACAGCAGTGCCGGTACCGTAGTGCGAGTGAACAGTCGCACCCGAGACGCTGCTACCGGTCGGGTATGGCCAGAAGCTGCGCTTGCCTTCGTGTAGCTACTGAGCTACGTACCGAGCGTACCTGTCCTACTTTAGCTAGCTAGCTCGTTCTACCGGTATCACCACGGTACCGGCATTCCATTCTAAAGATGCTGTAGCACAGAAGTTTAAGCATTGATAAACACGAGAAAATCATCATTGGGAGGAATATACTAGACTACAGAGTACCGTTACTTTGGGTCGCTCAATAACCTATCCAAGCGTTCGTTTGTACTACGCTTGTGTCGTCGCTTGACAGTCAGTATGAACAAAACATGCGTTCCCTTCACGCTGCATGCAAGCGGCTGACCTCGGATTGTGGGCACACCAAGTCCTGTGGCAGAAGCCCAAGAATGCAAAACCATATTTTGCATCCAATCCCAACCAATTCTCTTACTGCAGAGGTACCTATCAATGATCTGTCTCTATAGCATTCACGACGTGTCTTGAATCCCAACTGAAATATTTAATAGGATTGAAGCCATCACGGAAAGCTTGCAGGTAGCCTGATGACATACATTTCATTGAGAATTTACCAGAAGCAAAAAGTTTTGGAAAGCAAATGACGTGTTGCTTTTTCCCAATAGTGTCATAGTGTACTCACCTTTTCCATAATCTTCACGTTGACTGGGTGACAATGCATTCCAAATGCTGCAAACAGCTTCCTCAGTTGACTTGGGATCTGCCATGGGGGTGGAATGGAAGCCGGGTAATGCAAAGCTACTTGTACTGCGCAAAGGCATCCTTCTGAACGTAGGTTTTCTGTCATTGAATCCACTGCATGTTTGGAAAAACACATAAGGTGTTATGCAAAGTCCCCGCCCAAAAATAGGCCTGAAATGGAGCCATGGTGACAATTCCTGGCACCAAATATGGTCCCTTCAGAAGGCTTGCTTTCTTGAAAATAAGGCATAAAACTCCTTGACACATACCGGAGTACCCCATAAAAGTTCACGCTCATAGTTGCCTGGAAATCAGGCATTTTGGCCCAGTCCACTGTCCCAGCACGGATGATCCCTGCATTGTTGACGAGAGCATGGAAGTGACGCTGTTTCTTTGATCCTGCACTCCATCCCAAGAGCGACAACCTTGTACGCTGTCCATGACACTTTTTCACTTGTGGACATCCAGCTGACAGGAATGGCCAGTGCAGTTGCTGAAAGTGTTGGAATGAGACTTGTGCGAGACAACCATCAGAAAAACGGTAAGAAGGTCGTCGGTGCAGTCATGTGGTTCCACCACTTGTCGCCCAATAGCCACATCACGAGCCTGTCACGAAAGACTGCCAATTCTTAGAGTGTTATTGCACGGGGTAAGTTTGCAGCTCTTCCTCGCCTCGTATCCGCAACCAAGGCACCATCCCAAGACTCGATAGATCATTCGGAAAAGAACAGCCACTGCAGCAAGGGGGTATCCAATCAGAAGTATCAGCAGCCAGAACCCAGCATCAGCTATGATGGAGATGGGTTCTACATGCAACACATCATTGAGGAAATTGACCAATCCGATAAACAAGGATGTCATGTTGATGGGTTCAGCTACGCTGGATCAAACAGCAGGGGACTGGTAGGTGTCTGTTGAAGTACTACAGGACCGTGCACCTCTAATCGTCGTAGTATCGTCGTCGGATCTCGGAATGGATCAAGGAGCAAAGAAACCCCCTCATTTACTGTACAGTTGTCTGCGAGGATCCCACCAAGCCCCCCCCCAACCCTGGTTGTTCCCGATCCCGTACAGTAAAGCCCCCTACCCCCCCCTGCTGCATTTGGGGTATAGGTTTACTGGCTGACGGGTGCTGACAACTTGCTACTATGTAATCATGCTAGCCGATGTTGAACTGTGGAGAGGTTTTGAGGTGGTGACTGTCCATGGAATAACATTGAACCATGTGCACGTCTTCGTAATGCTGTCGGACATCTATCTCGTACCGTGGCTCAAAGTGGGCTTGAGCCCAATGGCTGTCCCTGGTAAGATAACTTGCTGTAATAAGGCTACTTGGGACGGGCATTTGGGGAGGTCATGGCAGGTGGCTAGCTAGAGACACGCTATTTGAATGATTTCAATAGGTGCTCATGGAATGAGTAAACATGTACTTTTGCTGCCCAAGGTGGACATTGGAACCATTCAAATGGTCCAGAGGCAACGGTTGTTCCTGAGACAACTACACATTATTGACATTTGCTCAAAGTTGAAGGACGCTAAGAAACTATTTCAGTGGGCTCTTGCCCACTTGCCAATGGCTGCCCACAGACAAGTCAGCATCTGCTTTTGTCAGAAGCCTTGGCAGACGAAACTTCAAGCATGGCGTGTGCGCTCTGGCTGTTTGAGTATACCGTGCGCTGTCTGTGAAGTTCTGAAGCAAGCCAAACTAGTAATTGAGACTACGGTACGTTATAGCCTCAGAGGCTGTCCCCAAATACACTAGTGTTGCGAGTCTCCGTGTACATACGGTATGTGTCTACTGAGCCTTAGGTTTTTGTGTCATTATTGCTGGCGTCTTTTGGATAATGTTGACTCGGAACCACGTTGGAAGCTTCGAGAGTGGATACACGATGTATCGCGCATCCAAGCCAACCATCACCCTTTCGGGTGGGTTGCCGGATACCACTGCATTTTCCATAGCCTCTACAACGTATTTCTTGTCCCAGTACAACCTACCCGCACGCGTTTCAATGGGTTCAGCAATGGCATTGAAATAGTCTATGGAAACCAGAAACATCCACAGAGCAAGACAAGAATAAACCACATTAGTATGGACAGAAGACAGTTTTGAAAGCTTCCAGCACTTACCTTCCCCATACTCTTCTCGATGCTCTGGCGTCATTGCGTCCCATATCTTCCTCATCCCTCCTATCAAATTTTTGGATTCCGCCAAGGCAGTCTTGTGCATGCTTGGATTAAGCTTCGTAACCTTGACGCCAAAGGTACCCAACTCGACTCTCAAGTTTGTTGTATAGGCATCCAAAGCATGCTTACTGCATTCATAGCCTGCAGCCAAAACTCCTCCAGCAAAGACCCCGGCCGTAGAGATCATGTTGACTACGCGAGCATCCTTGTAGGAACCAGTGGCGGCTTGTTGTTTCAATAACGGCAGGAAAGCCTTGACCACTCGAATAGTCCCAAAGAAGTTCACGTTCATGATTTCTTCAAAATCTTTGACTTCCATCCAATCAATCAAACTGAGTCTACCACAACCAGCATTGTTGACTAGGGCATGGAAATGACGCTTCTTGGGTGACTCCTTGTCGTCGTCTTTTTGCCATTTGCAGACGGTTTCGTACGCTTTTCGTACGTCCTCATCACTGGTGATATTCACCTTGATTGGTATGATTCTGGGTTCTCCTTGGAATTGCTTAAAAGAGTCTTCCGAGAGGCAGGCAGCGAATACAGTGAATCCTTTGGACACCAAGGAAAACACCAGTTCCTGTCCAAAGCCAGTGTCACAGCCAGTAACAAATACCCCCAATTCCTTGTCTGGGTAATCCTTTGGCAGAATCTCTCTATTCCAAAGATAGAAATCGAGGAGCCTGTAGGCAGACAAGAAAATTGCTCCAAAAGCCATCAAGGGGCAAGTGATGAGGAGAAGCAGGTACCAAAAGAATCCATGGGCAATCGTTGCAACCGGCTCTTGGTGGAGCATGCCATTCAAGTTGTGGACGTGGCGCGTCCAGTCTTGACGCTCTTCTTTTGACATGTTTCTTTTTGCTTCCAGTACCAGGTATGATAGTAAAAGCAGCAACAACAACCTGATCTAGCTAGTTGATCCTTTTAAAAGAGCTTTGTGGCTGCACCGAGGGTGTCTTCTTCTTTCTTCAAGGAACCGAGGAGTGATGTGTGGAGTTTGAAGGAGGCCCACGATTTCAAATCTCACAGCAGAGGTGAACGAATGGACAGGTGATGTCTGGCACTCAAAGCAAATAAGAAACGATTTAACGGCCAAATTTGATGGTACTGGTACGGTACCGTACAGGCTCTACTAGCTACTAGACTAGTACTGTAGTAGTAATAAAGCCGAACCAACCATCATGCACTTGGGTTGTACCGTACTAGTAGGTCTCGGTGAATAATCATGATGGCATCCACCCAGACTACCGGTACTATTAATAGCTAGTAGCAGATGGTGGAATTCCTTTGAACACCCAATACCCAGCAGCTTGCCATGGCTTTGGAGCCATAAGGGCCCGTCTTCCCAACCCCACACGGTACCGGCAAGGGCTCTAGCTAGCTATGCCGAGACTGAAGTGAATGGAGCTGTGGCGAATAGCTAGCTAGCATAGCAAAGCAAAAGCTGTGTAGTGCTTGAACACAGCAACTAGTATAGCGTCTCCATAGCAAAACATGTATCCCCTGCATCTGAAACTCTCCATACCCACATACGGTAGAGTTCACTCTAATACCCTTACAGCTCATCGTCGCTGTCAGCAGCGTCATCTTGCGCACGAAACAGCGTCATGGCTCGGTTTGCAAACTTTTGTTCCACGTTGATGGGGACGCGAGAGCCTGGTCTTTGAAGAGCCAGAGCAAAGACATCAAACGCCCCGACTGTGCACTCTTGGAGTATCATCCATTCGTAAAGATGCTCCATCCAGGATTCTGCAATTTCTTCACAGCCAGTCACGACGCTGGCATCAACCGTGGTTGCAGTATCCAACAAGTGCCGGCAAAGTAGCTCCACTTGACCGACGAGCTTCTTTGTGGAGCTATAAGTTCCCTTGCTCCAACTCTCCTGGGGGTTGCATCCCGGACGATGGCAGGTGAGACACCATAGAGACATGACTGTACTGCAAGCTTCTCGGCTCCCAAACGCACCTTCGCCAAGTAGCAAATGGAAGCTACCATAGCATTCCCCACCAATTCGCTTTTCGCAGAGATCCTCGCCAGCGAAGTTGGAGAGAGTGTCTGCAGACAGCTCATAGCAGCTATCACGACCTTCTCATCGAGAGAAGTTCCAAGAGACTGAATGCACCTGACCACCGAGCCCAGTGCATTCTGCCCAACAAGAAGAGATTCACAAGGAAAGTACCAATGCTTCAAGATTAGCGACAGAGTGTTGCACGCAACTCTTCCCTGCTTCTTTGCACTAGATCTTTGCTTCCAGCTCAACAAGGACGTCCCACTTTCAACACTCTGAACTACGGATAGCACAGCGTCCACCTTACCGGTCAGGATGCGTACCACTGTTGTACAAAACGCGTCCACCCCCCAACCACGTTGACTCATTGCTCGACTGTAGTCATCGCGTACAATCAACGAGGCTAGGTGGCCAATGCTGCGAATTGCATTTCCAGCGACCTGCGGGTATGGAACGAAGCAGTGTGTAGTGAGACATGTGCAATTGCATTGTTTGAGTCTGCCATCAATCAATGGCGTCACACCTTTTCGTTTTCATCGCCCATGCATGCACATGCCACCTCACACGCATCCCCAAGAGTTTCTGGGTCATAGAAACAGGCTGAATCAACTGACACCTGAGCTAGATTGCCCACAGCAAACAGAGCCTTCGAGATGACACAAGATGAGTGACTAGCATGTGAAACACCAGCAGAAGTCCTAAAAGAAGGCAGTTTTCGGACGAGTCGAGTCAATGTCAGCTTGCTTACCATGCTTCGAACAGGGGCGCTCCTATCTTTCATTGCGATAAGCATTGCTCCGAGAACGTCTGGACCTATTAGTTGTAGCTGAGAGTCTTCCGAAGAGGAAGCTGCATCGACACCTGAAGAGTCGGGAAAATTTTGACACAAGAAACAGTTGCTGCAAATATCTCCGATCGCTTTGCAGGCTGCGCTCCTGACCGCGGACACTGCTTCCGTTGCGACGGAATGGCGAAGCACTATCTTGACGTGAGAGCCAATGCTGCCAACACATCGATCGTCCGTATGTTCAAGCCAGTCTGATCCAAGCAATGAACCGTAAGCCTGCAAAGAAAGGCGCCGACACGTGCCAGATACGCTCTCGATAGTCTCCGGCAAAAGCTTTAAAACAAACGTAACGAGAGTTTCTGCTGCAACGAAAACTTCTTTCGCAGGCATGTCGTGTTGCCGTCCTTGTAACAAGGAGTCCAGCAATTCCATTCCACTGGACATCAGTTTTGTGTTGCTGGACACACAAAGCTTCTCTACAACGCATCGATACCTCGTCCAATCTGACTCATCGTCGAGGACTGTTTCAGGTCGCGTTCTTAGAACCGACCTGAGTAGCCTCACGGGTGCTTCAGCTGCCTTGCCAGTGTCGGTTGCCACTGTCTTGTTGATTGCGCCAAACATGGAGTCGAGAAGGAAACGGGACGAAGAAGACGCGAGCATATTTCTTGCAGGCAAAATCATCTCGGTACGCAGCCCTTGAGGTGTTATATGGCCTCCCATGCAGTCTTCAAAGATTGCCGTAAGGCGGTCCAATGGAGCGGATTGCAACTTGTTTTCTTGCACCAGTATATTGGAAAAAGCCGCGAACAACTCTTGGGCAGCTTCCACGACGCGTTGGCCCTCAGCAGAGGAGTTGGAGAGGCTCTCATATGGAATCTCGAGCAGCGTTGCCTTGAAGAGACTCAAAAACCCTGCACAGTCTATATTGTGAGCTCGACTCTCCCAATCATCACAATGCACCTTGAGGATGCATGTTGTGACGACCAAGATACCCATGAGCGCTTCCAAGACACGAACTGAAAAGTTCGATACTGCTCCACCCTGATATTGCCGGCTATGTTGTGGGTACTTTTTTCCAAGCCACAGTTTCCATGGCGCTTGCGTTGCCATGATTGCCAAGGATGCCAAGAGCAGATCCCTTTCTACGCCATTCCTTATGCCATGGACCAGTCGCAAGAATGACGGCAATTTGTCACAGTCGTATCCACAGCGAGAGCATTTGGTGCCTGCTGCATTGCTGTCATTGGTCCCTTTCCATTCCACCGCCCTCATCCCGTTCCCCCGTAGCAGAAGAGTGCTCCCCAAAGACAGCGACGCATCTGGTTGGTGCTTCAAATAGGAAAGCAGCACTATCCAAATCTCGTTTGGTGTGTTTGAATATGAGGCAGTCATCAAGTCTTCATTTTGGAAGACTTCTTTGAAAAAGCGTTCCATCACAAGCACATCCAGGTCTCTGATCGTATTTTCGGAAGCCACACCAGTTCCTTGTTTGAACATTGATGATGATGATGAAGGCACCGAGGAAGACTTGTCCACGGCGGTTGCCACCTCGAGGGCCATTGCAAGACCACTGTAAATTGTCGCCAATTGACTTGTCGTCGTCGTCACAACGTTGGGTTGTGGACAAGACAAGTAGTTCTGTATGGCGGTTTGAAACACATGAAACAACCGTTTGCGAAGAGGATTGATTTGGTACGTTTCCTGTCCATTGGGAGCGACATCTTTGACGAGTGGCGCCAACAAAGCCGACGCGTGCTTTTTGACCTGCAGCAGGGATTGAATCGCTTGAAAGGACAGTTCCACTCGCATGGAATTGTCTTCCACTGGTGATTCCAAGCAGCTCAGTGTGTGTAGATTGCTTTCTAAATACGGAAGCAAGATGTGTCCCACCATTCCATGAGCCGTGTCTTCGGCCGGAAGTTGAGGTGCCAGACATATCAGTATGCGCATGCAACATTCGTGGTACTTTTCCTCCATATCACGATGTATGCAGCATCTGGAATGGATCAATCCTTGGAGACAGTGGCCCGCTTGCAGATTGGTGACGTTGATTGTTGTTGTTGTTGTTGATAATGGGGGTGGTTGATCTTCATGAGTAGTACATGCACTTTCCTTTTTCAACATTTCAGATGTCAACTTGAGAATCTCCCAGACCACCTCCGTGTTTTGTTTGAAATAATGGAGAATGTTCAAAGATGTTGCAATGGCAGTGCCACGTTGTTCCTCGGTAGTGATAATATTGGGCATGTTGTTGTCTTGGCCGTTTTCTGCACCTGATAGATTTGAAAGCTTTTGGAGGATTTTCACTAGATCCTTGCTTCTCGAGACATCATCCAAAGCATGATTATCTCTTTTCCCTTCTAATGGACTGTGATGACTCGTCGTCGTTGGTTTCGCCCATTCTGTCAGAGCATTGATTAGTCTGTTCCACTCTAGCAGTAGTAGTGTGTCAGCATTGGATGCCTCATCAATATTTCTTGACAGTGATTGTCTGTGGTTGGGCCTCCAAGGAGCTGAATGAGTTGGCTGAGATTGTCTGGGTTGTTGCTGATTTCGAGAATATTTTCTGGCTGCGATCTTCCCATGATTATTTTGGGTGCTTGCTCTTCTGTCGTTATAATTATTTGCAGTAGTAATTGTACTGTCTGCCTTCCAATTATTGTGGGACGATGCATTCGTTAATCGACCATTATTATTTCGCCTCTGGTTTCGTTGTTTGTCAAAGCCACCATTACTGCTGGTACCTTGTTTCTTCGTGTCACTGCTTGGCTTCAAGGCGTCCCATCGGCTGCTCATGCTAACAATAGCTACTGGTAGCTAGCTAGTTGGGTACCGGTATACTACAAAGGTATCATACAGTACCGCAACATCGAAGAAGGAAGTTTGAAGAACAAAAACAATTGTTGTCCTAGCTATCTACCGGTAGCTTGTGTCCTTGTGTCGTTGGGTTTTGGAACAGTGATTGAGAATGTGACGGCCAGACCCCAAGTGCTCATTTTTGCTTTCATCGATTGCAGCCACTGATGCCTGCCATCAGTCAACGAAGATCCATGGATACACCATACACAACGGTTTGCAGAAAGATTCTTTGCTCACTCCGTCCAGAGACCAGAGACACGATTTGTCTTGTGTCTGTTGCAATACTACAGCATGTATACATGAAGTCCACTGATACGCAACGAAAGCCACCGCTCTCTCTGTTCCAAGTCTGCTGCATGTCTTGGTTGGTTGTCTCTTCTTGGCTTCATCGCATCCCTTCTGCCGCTGGCTTTGCTTCCTCAGGTTCACCCAGAGTTTGGACTCGACTACCGTCGCTACGATCACCATTGTTGATACGAACCATGAGTTCTTCTACTTTTTCTTCACAAGATAATGACGCGTCAAAAAGTAACGACAAACCCAGCACTAAAAACAACAATCTTGTAGTGGTCTTGACAGGACCGACTGCCGTGGGCAAGAGTGATGTGGCGGCTCGAATTTGTGCCAATCATCGGGGACTGATTGTTTCGGCCGATTCCGTCCAAGCCTACCAAGGCGTACAGATTGGGGCCAACAAACCAACCCCGGAAGAGCAACGAGAAACGCCCCATATGCTGGTAGATGTCGTCGATCAGGATACCAACTACAACGCCGCCGAATGGCAACGAGATGCCCTCCGTGTCATTGCCAAATTGTTGTCGCAAACTACCAGTGAGAATGATGATGATGAGAATGATGAAACACTCGACAAAGCTACCCAACAACGCCAAGAAATGATCAATCAAACCATTTTAGATGCCAAACGCCTCAAGGGATATCCAGACGCAGAACCCGTCCTTCCCGTTGTGGTGGGAGGCACCATGATGTACTTGCAATGGTTGGTACATGGGCGACCGGATGCCAGCAAACCAAGTCCTCAGGCGGTACAAAAAGCCCATGAGGTCATGGCCCCATTTCAAGAACAAGAGGATTGGGACGGCGCTGTACAACATGTGCAATCCCATGGACCCATTTTTGCGCAGCGCATCACCACCCTCTGTGGTCGCGATTGGTATCGGTTACGGAGAACCTTGGAAATTGCTTTGATGGTACAAGAACAAGAGCAACAACAAACATCTGACGACAACAACCAACAGCAACAACAAGACGACCTGATTGAAAAACTCTTTACAGGTCAACGAGAGAAAAGTCTCGAATCGTACGGGTACGACGTCCGCTGTTTCTTTCTCTGTCCCGACGATCGCATGGCGCATACTGCACTGGTCGATGAACGATGCGAAGTCATGATCACGAAGGGACTCTTACGAGAAACCACCGATCTCCAATTGGCAGGACAATTGCCTGACATGGCCGCACGAGCCATTGGATATCGACAAACCCTCGAATATCTGCAACGAGAAGGAGCCAAAGATGATGATGAAGATGCCTTTCAAGAATACTTGAATCAATTCACCACAGCCACACGACGCTACTCCAAAAAACAAATGCAATGGTTTCGAAAAGATGACAAGTTTGTATTTGTTCCAATTGTCATGGAAAACGAAAAGGCCACGCGAGTGGAAGCGGCCGCCAAGGCGATTCAGGAAATGATTCGTCTGCCCCGCAATGAGTATGAACGAGTGTGCTTTGCGGAGGACAGTGTTTCCGCCAAGACCATGAAAGACAATGAAGCCCAAGGAAAAGGGATGAAATTCTATCAGTTCAAACGGTATCACTTGAAACCGGGAACGGCAGAACTTGCCAAGGCATTGGAAAAAGCAGATGGTTGTACCCAACAAATTCAGGCCAAAAGGAGAGAAATGGTGAATGTAGTGGAGGGAATAAAATGATAATACAGGAGCTACTTTGTTGACTTATTTCATTGATCATGTGTGCGTGCAGGGTGACGTCACCGTTTGCTGCAGCTGGAGTTTTCGCCAAGTATCCGCCAATTACGCTATGATTGCTCTGGCAATGCCAATTCATTGCATCGTCTATCCTGTTTCAATAATTGTGGGCAACCATGGTGCTTGTATCGATAATAGGAGGGCATGTACTGCTGCTTTTGCTATGTGCGAGCCGAGTATCAGGGTTTGCGATTTCCCCTTCCACGTTTGGACCAAGGGAGAATAATGGTGTGACCTCGAAGCGCCTGCTTCCAATATGGAGCAGCAGCGGCGATGATGAGTCATCCGACGGCAGTAGTATAGACGCAATGCGACAAATGTTGGAAGGATCCTGGAATTCCGAAATGATGGGATTGCTACCGGCCGATCCCGAGGATGCTGCAAACGAAGCCGGTGGTTCGCTTATGACAGCGAAAGAACGTGGTCAGAATGTGGTCATGATCAATTTACTTCTGCCAAGTTACGATATTACCATGGGATCCAACGTTTACGACGAAGTCGAAGCTGTGAATTTTTGTGTTGCACTCAGCAAGTTCCTGGACGGTAAAGCCTGCATTGTGGTACGAGACAACAAGACTGTCAATTCGGTTTCGCGGGTGCTAAATGCCAGGAAGGCTGCAGCATTGGAAGAAGAAAGATATACCAAGGTGGCACCGATAGCAGATGAAACTGAAACAGAAGAAGAGGACGATGATGATGATGATGATGATGTCGACACTGAAGATGACGGCACTGAAGACGATGCTGACACTGAAGATGACGACAATGAAGATACGGTTGAGAGCCAAAAAATGGATAAAGAAACTGACAGCGCGGATGATTCTAAGAAAGAGGAACTAGACGATTTTCGACAACAACTCATGGCTGATTGGGGCGAGGACGAGCCAGAGGATGAGCCATCAGACGAAGTACAAGGAGATATCAGTGACAGCGAGGAGCTTCCAGCGGAATCTGAACCGCCACAACCTGAAGCAGAGGCTGAACCTTCGTTTCGAATGGCTAGCATGTTTGGCGATGCAACCTTCAAAAAAGGTCCGGACATGTTCGACAAAGTCATTGAGGCAGTCTCCTTTAACGCCCAGCCAAACGAAGACGAGGATACCCTTGTCATATTGTCAGCTTCCAGCGAGGAAGAAACCATTGGGGTCCGTGCTCTTGTGGCCAAGTTTGAAAAAACCAAGACGATTCTGTTGGTCAACTGCCAGTTCAACCCGGTTCCCCGTGAACTCATGAAAGCAGAAACAATCTACTATCTACTGCCCTTGGTAGCTAAACCCAAAGAAGCTTCCACACAATCAGAAGGATCCATGGAACAGCCAAAAGTAGTTGTCTTGCGAAGGTTCCCACGCGATTTTGAAGTGTACATGGACTTTGGAAAGGGCTTTGAACTGACGGAGAGTGTGGGCGTGAACCAGGTGGGAAGGACCGGCCCAACATTGGAATGGGTCGCAGGGAGAGTCAAGAGGCAAATGGATGCCCGCTCTTTCTAGGTGGAGTACCATACTGTTCAAAGGAAAGCGTGTGAAGTATGCGGTGCTTGGTTTGACTTTATGCACCACTGCAGTCCTCACCAGCTAATAGAGATAGAATCGAATCGTCGATGATTCTACAGAAACTCCACTGTCCTGGAACGTTTCGCAACGGTCGGCCATTCCCCGGGTGCATGTGAGGATTGTGGACAACTTATCGAGGCAGGTACTAAACGCACATAGCTATGATTACAAAGGTTATCCTGGATATGTGTTTGGTCAAAAAACACTTGGCGCTAGAATCGGTTCTCCTTGTTCCCACTGGAAAAGCTTCAAATGCGACGGCAAAGCTTCTCTGCTTTGCCAGCAATCACTTCCACAATTCTGAAAATGAAGCTGTAGGGAAGGGAAGCTTCAATGCTTCGGTTTCCACAGAGCAAGGCAAGACTATACCAAGGTTAGTTCCATAGACCAGATGCTTTAAATCTGTCTCCATTTGCATCGTGTTAACTACCGAATGACATTCCCAAAGAGACGAGGATCCTTTTGTAGTCTTCAGAGCATAGTGCCATCAAGGCGCAGCTTCTCAAGCACCGTTCCCAACAAAGGTGCTGATGAGTATGCAATCCGAAGCTAAGTACCAGCATTTTGTGAAAGACTGAAGTCCATTGTTCTTTGAGTCTGATCTTGCGACTCTTTCTCTTGAGGTTGCCCTTCACGCTTGCTGTCTGCCCCACACCCATAATAGCACAAAAGTAACAGTATATAGATGCCCACCAACACAAATACAGCACCCGCTATTTTCAGTCGACCCAGCGTTGCGGACGAAGCCAGCGAGGATATGACCCTGCAGGAATCACAGTCCCCAAAGGCGTCAATATGTGGCCAGTCGTCATCCTGGGACGGTCCCATCAAGGGGTCGAAGCGTGTGTAGTTGGCATCCATATCAAACAAATTCTCTTGCTGGACGCATAGTTCAACCTCTTGTAAGGCTGCTTGTCGTTCCTGTTCCGTGCAAACGCGTTTGCTGCATATCGTAGCCGAACATCCCTCCACCTTGAGAGAGGAATGACATTGCTTGGGTAATGTGCCCTCACTCATACCGGGACATGCCCACTCGAACCCCCAGTCCAAGTCGTAGGCAGCATCGTAGTAAAAGTGATAATGGTCCTTTTCATCGACTACTTCCATGTCTGCCTGTTCTTGAAATCGGACTTGTGTAATCCGCATTGGTCCCAGATAGTCAAATGGGGTCTTGACCAGAATGGAATAAACGAAATAAAGTACCATGGAAATTAGAATGGATGTCATTGCCAGCATTATCCCAATGAGTCCTTTCTTGGGTATAGCAGAATCCTCCTGATGGTTTATATATTTGATGGCAGCGACCAGTAAGACGATCAAAGAAACTGCCATTCCGATACTGGACAAGACGGTTGCTACAGTGGGGTCAATGCTTGGCCCCTCATCGTGCAGGCGATTTTCATTGACAACAACAAGGGTATCCTCCATGGTGTTGGCAGGGTGGGTTGAGGGGTAGATGGGATTGAGTGGAGAGCAATGGTTGTCCTGCTCAACAACGGGAAAGGTGAGGATCAGATCTCGATCCATGTTGTATCTGGCAAGGAAATAAAAGAAGCAAGGATGAATTGGGCAAAGAGTATCCATGACTGAAGGACCTGGCGGTACTGTTGGTGAAATCCAAGAAGTTCTCCTAATTCTTCCAGTCATGAGCTACCAGGTAACGGGATTACCAAGATCCATACAAGTCGAAGCCTTTTGTGTGGCAATCAAAAGCACAATCTGACTCACTCAACACCACCACAAACGGTTGGTCCTCGAGAGTACTTCGTACATGTACTAGTACTGCATAGCATATTCCTCTTGTCTCTTGGGATCGATTATCTACCAATCTTATCCAAGTAGAAAATAAAGATGGTTTGGGGACGAATAGTCGACGCAATATCCACTCCAAAGCTACCGGAGGGAGAACCCACAAAATTGCCTCAGTATTTTCCCGTGGAACCCAAAGGTTGCGAACGGCATGCCCAAACGCTGTTCGCTTGCTTGACCAATGAAGCTACCGAGAAGGCCCGAGACATGGAAAAAGCTGGGTTATTAAAGAGCTATTTTCCCGATGTACAAATGAAACCAACCGATGAGAATGCGGCCAAATTGGTGGCATCCGGTGCTGCCGCCGACAATCCGGACCTTCCCAAACCCGGCGAGAATCCATTGGATCAGTGTCGACTCCAAATTGCCTATTACCAACGATGCTGCGAAAGAGAACTGAAAAAGAAAAAGAATTGGCTGCTGACGGAGCCTTATCGAGTGCAAGAAGAATACAGATACAGCAAGACCAAAAATGAGGTTGGAAAGGATGACTAAATAATGGAATAAAGGAACTTACAGGAAAGGATCAAGTGATCGAGGTGCAACAACTCAAAATGCACGCAACAATCCACACAACGCAGACAAATTCTCAAACTAGATTGTCGTCATGAGTGGAAGCAACGGTCCAAGTTTGGCACTGTATCATCGGGAAAGATTGCATGATTAGGAAATACAGTAGAGATTATGATTCCAAAGTTTAGCTCTACCGGTACCGTACTAAAGAAGCAACCTCTCCTCAATTCGTTACCAAAGCTATATCTACTTAGAAAATCGTACTTAGCAACATCGTTCTCCTGGGAGAGACTGCCATGAGACCGAGGGCAGTACCAGGTGGCAAAGCAACTGTAGGATCTACTCAGTACAAGCTAGTCGTTACCCCAATAACTTCTAAGCACGAAAGCAAAAACGACCATGAGAACAGCAAGCACCAACGAGGGAGAAACGATAGAAACACGTGGTGTCGACGATGACACTTGAACTGGTTCCGTGCTCGTAAGGTTGGGAGCAGCAACATTGTCGCTTTTTGGAGACTGTGCTGTACTCGTCTCTCGACTGCTACTCACCGGATCGTCGTCGGTGGCAGTCTGCACCCACTGACACATGGATTTGACTAGTTTCTTCTCCACCTGCTTTTGTTTCTGTTGCTGTCCTTGCAGACTTTGCCATTGTTTCTTGGCTTGCTTGTGATTGGGATCATACTGGAGCAAACGTTTCGTGTCGGCAATGGCATGTTGGAATTTGGCTAGACCTCCTTGGGCCTGACTCCGCAGCAAGAGAGCCGTCTGTTCCAAGCTTGTCAAATTGTTGTTGTTGTTGTTGTCTTCTTCTTCTTCCTTGTGATGGTTGGCAATGGTCAATGCCAACGTGCTGGCGAGGACGGCACTCTTGAAATAAAGTGGCCGCGATGTCATATGCTTGGCCAGCTCGGCGAGTTGCAGCATGCATCTCGTGAGGTTGAGCAGAATTCGCTCCTGGAGGTGTTCCTCGTCATCGTTGTAGAGAATACAGAGATAAATGTCGGCCTCGGATATTTTCAAATCTTGTCCATCTGCCAGGGAGATCTCAATGCCCTCTTCGTCGTCGTCATCATCCAAGCAATCCACATCGGCAATCTTGGCATGTCCTCCTGCTTTCATCACAATGGCGGATCCCACTTGTAAGATGCTACTCAGTCGCAAGGCAGCTTCGTAGTAGCTGCAAGCAGCCGAAGCATCCCCCAGTCGCAACAGCTGATCGCCTCTTTCTTTCCACACAGCCACATCGTCAGAGTGCTTTTCTGTTGTGAGTTCAAAATCCAACAGTGCCTGCAGCTCGGATAGTTCCACCGTGGTTTCTGTCTCGTCAGTGTCTTTTCCGTCCATCACAGGAGCCACGAGAAAAGGTCGCTTCAGCCGTCGCTTGGGCTTTCCAACAGTACATGTAGAAGCATTGAACGAGATTGGCTCAGGAGCCAAAGATTCCCAAATGACACACGCCGTTTGGTCATCGCCTTGCAGTGTAGCGATCGTTGCTCTTCCGGTGGATTTGGGAACCTCGGGACGGGGTAGACGCACCGTAGCACCCACTTGAAAGCTGGGAGTGGTGCTCATGGTGGTTGATCGGTGATCAAGTGCTTGAGCGTTTCGGCGCCTCCGCCTCTTCTCGTGTTTTGTTCAAAGCAGTAGAATGCAATTTGTTTTACTAGCTACGGTAGCTACCGGTTAGGTAGCTTAGCATTTGCTGCCGAAACAACAATATTTTTATTGTTATTCCCAAGCTTGCAGGTGCAAATTTGAGTGCGGACCTGGAAGGTGGACAAAACTTTGAAAGTTGGCTGCGAATGTCAGAAAGTCTTTCAAAGGCACCAAGAAGGACGCAACAAGTTGAAACAGGAGACTGATGACTCTTTCCAGGGAGATCGTGGGAAACTGCATAATCGGTAACGAGCAGAGCACCCGAGGAGGTGCATGCCCAGTTGACTGACTGTCACTCCTTTGCTTCAGGGAGTCTTTAGTATTCTCCTCCAGGCCTCCTCCATCAAGTTTGCCTGTACCACTATCCGGAGGCAGGCAACATCTGATCGGAGAAGGGGAAAGAGAGCGCGTTCTTGTACGACCGCCACCGGGCAAAAGGTTCAGATTGCATGGAGCTGCACTAGTTAGTGAGAAGTGAGCACTGCGTTTGCTTGGCGGATAAAAGAGAGCACACGGCAATGAAACGAGGGCTCTTGCCCAGATTGAACGAGAGATCGAGCGGATGTGAAAGCAAGGTCCAATAAGGCTTTGTGCGTGTTCTAGAAGGATTGAAAGGCAGCATGACCTAAGCTGGACAGCAAAGGCGGTGGAACGGTTCAGGTCGATCGTTAGAAACGCGGATGCATGCTGGTCATCCATCCGCGTTTCTAACGACTCGAAGATGATCGAATTGTCGACAGTGTTGCTTCGGGTATCACTAGCAGACCTGTCCGAAAATGAGATGGCATTTGTAGCTAGAGCACAATACTTCGGCTTTTGTTGGGGAAAGTTCACAAGGGTACCGTGCCCGCATAAAGCGGCACGCCTCCAGACGCTGCTACCTCCCATCATTACGTGGAACACTCTGCTTTCGTGAGGGTATTCCTCTAGATTACATGCATAAGCTATCACCATGGAATGCGACGAGTAGATTGTTTGATTCATTTTCTTTCATGAAGAACCCACTAATTCCACCGAGTGGTGTGCACTGGAAGCGATCTGACATACCGCTATGTGCTCAAATAATAAATTCGGGGTCAAGCTTCAGCCGCCCTCCCAACCATTTTGCGAATTGTTGATTGACTTGGCTATCCCACCACAGCACACAGGAAGAACTGTCTATGAAATGATGCAATTACTCCCCGAATTCGTAAACGTAGCTTCATCTAGCGGCACGCCCTTTTGAGACCTCCAGAGTTCAATGACCTCGACAACCTTTTCCACAAACCCACCAGCTGCCACGACATTATCGGTAGCCGTGTCGGTGATGAATCGACCTTTCCTATCCAGAACTACCAGTGATGGGATATTGGCAATATGACACTTTTTGGACACCGATGTCTTGTGTTTCTGGCTTTCCAGGCCAACCAAGGCATATCTCGGTAGGTCTTTTGAAACTCGTCCAAATCTCGATCAGAACTAATGTACACAATCTCAATATCCACTTTCTTGAGCTTTTCCTGGTTGGCCTTGTCCTTACAAATCGCATAAAAGTCCTTCAGCAGGGGAGTGAATCTCTGACAGGAAGGACACCAAGCACCTTGGAATGAAAGAATTGATAGATAAACATATGACAAGAAACAAAAAGTGCCATGAGGCGAATCGAATCGAATAACCAAATCAAAGACACCCTTCTACTCGCTTGCTAGGCCCGTCAAAAGGCGGATCCTAGCTAGCAGGGTTGCATACACCACTTCGTACCTGAAAAATAGAGCACGATGAAATCCTTCCCCTTCAAAGCCTCATCCGTCTGGACGGAGGGACCATGATGAAAGAACGAGTTCTTGAAGTTTCGAAAGTTGGGAGTCTCTATGTATTCCCCAATTTTCGACAAGAGCATCGGACCCAACAATGCTTCAAAGGTACTTGGCTTCTTCTTCGGCATCTTGCTTTCTTGTTTTGCTCTATCTATCGTTGTGTCTGTTCTTCTCTCTATTCCGAGACGAGCTTGTCTACTCGCCGCCCACCTCATTCATGCATGTCATCCATGTCCATGTCCAGGTGGGTTGGGGCACGTTACTCTACAAAGTTCTCTTTTTCAGGGCTGACCCCCCCTGTGTCACTAGTTCTCATGACTGACAAGTGAATGTGCTTTGTGGCAGTTTGAAGCCGACCCTAATAACCGCAACGACCAACGCCACACGACATGTTGAAATGTGAGGATGTCAAGCTTGCTTCAAGGACTCAACAGAATGAAAAGGCTTCTAGCCAATCATATTATAGAAAAGATGTCGGATGCCGGCAGGCTTGCCCGACATTTATGCGAAATGTCGTGTTGAAGTTGGTGATTCCGACACGTTTTACTATAGAATCTCAGTACAAATGATTCGGAACACTTTGAGCCAATCACATCACTCCCGACATGTTGTTAAATGGTATATAGACATGAATATATTTTATGATCTACAATAGCCCCAGTCGGGCATCCTCGGTTCTGGCTTGATTCTGACATGTTTCAACATGTCGTTGTCGTGTGGCGTTGCGGTTAGGGTCGGCTTGAGACAGTGCTGCCAATTAGGATCCAGTATTCAGATTTTTTTTTCTTCGTGAAAATAAATACTAAATAGATACGTTAAGGAGCGAGGGGGGCGAGGCTAGGCAAAGCAGTGGCTGCGGTGGGGGGTGGCTGGTGTGGTGGGCAGATTGTTCATTTTTATATCTATGAAGTTTCTTCATCTATCTTTCATGACAGGCATCTTAGAGAGCTCGAAACTAGCCACATAGCATGTTCTACTGGTCGAAGACAATATACAGACACCATACATAGGAGCAAAGCAGTTCCGTCCCAACACCACGTATCTCATTTTACACCCAACAACTAGAGAAGTCAACAGAAACCACCCCAGATAGGCTCCGATACCACGAACGAGCTGATATGGGCTCCAACCATACAAAGTTCCGACTCTCTATAAAGTTCCGTTTTTTTCTTAATGCTGGAGGGGGGGGTGGAACTTTAGTGAGTGTTGACTGTACTGGGGGATCCAATAGTATTTATTTAGCCCCATAGTATAAATTTAATTACAGTCACAGACACAACCGGCCGGCGACTCCAAACTCCAATCCGCGACCCCAAACCCACTTGGCGTGAACAAACGCAGCCAGACCCCGATGGCACGAAGATAGAAAACCATTCCGAGGGTTTTTCGGGATCATAAAAAATCCCTCGGAAGTACTCAGTAGCCCTCAACCTACACAAGCAACGCAACAATGGTGGATACGACGACAGTGATCGCCGAAGCCTGACGAAATGAGGGACGAGTGATGCATCCAATTCAAGGGCAAGCGAGTGCCCAAGGAATATCTATAGATACACGCAGAGACTTCCACATGCGCACTTTTTTTATTTTTTATTATATAATTTTATTGTATTTTGCTGGTGCTGATTTCATAAAGCAACTGGTTTGCACAGTGTGGATTGGGTTTCCTTTCTTCGCTAAGTAACTAGAAGCGTTTTGCTAGGCAGTGGTACCACCTACAACAAATTATGTCGTCACGGACTGATCCGCCTTGCCGTTCCTCTGCTCTGTGACCACCCATCCACCAATCCCCGCCACCCCTCGTTGGTCAGTCCCATTCTCGAAACGGCACGCCCGCTTCTGATTGTTTAGCGACTATATTTCTTCTTTTGAACATTGAAGATGGGCAAAGTTTGATCCTCTACGCCATCATCATACGTTTTGAAACCCCCGCAAGTATTCAATGGCTTGCTCCCCTCGGTTTTGGCTGAAACTGTCAAGGAATCGGAACTAATACCAGTAGATCGATCCAAGACTTTCGTCTGAAATTGCAGCAACCCTGAAACCTCGTGGGCATCGGCATTTGGAATACTGGAAGTCTTTGCCTTTTTCTTCTTCGGCTCGCCCTCGTTGTTCTCCAGACCACGTAGCAGGGACCAAATGACGAGTCTCCGGGTGAACGTTGAGAACTTCCAAGAACGGCACTCCGTAAGAGAGCTTCATATCGTCCGATAAAGTCGACAAAACATGGTGGAAGTAAAAAGGAGCCCCGTTCTCTACCGAACAAAAGATAGTCCCACAGTCACCACCATCTGTGCAGGGTTCCGTGGCCGGTCCGGAACTACGTAGTCCAATGTCGCCTTGGAAGCTGTGCTCACCGGAAGATGATTTCGAAGGATCGTGAACAGAGGCCATTGCACCGCGGCGTTGCGCCCCAAACCCAATAAGGGTGGATCCGATGGAGGGCGTCTTGATCAAACAAATAAAGTCTTCGTCAAGTGTAACGTGAGATTGATTCGATAAGGTAATCCGCATGGGATGATACTCATCCGGTTGGAGTTCCATTTGGAAGACCAGCGAGTCCGTATTGTTGGAAATAGACGTCACGCTTCCGATCTCAAACATGAAGTATTCGACTTTCTCGAGTTCCTCATCGGGGACAGTGATTGGCTCGCTATGAGCAAAACGAAAAACCGAGTCGCCGACCGAATGACAAAGGTGGCCGATCGTCAATCCATAGCATTTGGTGCCTTCAGGGTTTGCGAAGCAGAACGACAAAGTCGCCCCTTCTCCTTTGTCGTTCAGCACCCAATCGCCACCAGTCAAAGGGCCGTCACCAGCACTACGCACTATATATATATTGAATTACTTATTTAGGTTAACAACCTATTGGTCCCCGGAGGACCTTTTTCCTAACGCTGCAATAGTTGAGCCGAGGGCCCAAATAGCTGAGTCGTATACCATTGATGAATTGCACGATAGTAAGATTCACGGTGCACACCAAGCATCAACACTGAAGGAGGATATGCCTCATAGTAGCACGGCTACACTATCCTATAGTCTCACCGCCGTTCACCTCCGCCCCATGAACAAGGGGCAGGTCCCTACAGCTCTACTTACAAAGGAAGTGTGCATCTTCCCATCATGACCTGGAGCGCGGTGGCCTAGCCAGGATTTAACCTATTGTAAGGGCGCTGATCGACAACAGTCATCTTCGATCCACCTCCACCACAGGTGCGTCTGAGTGATCAGGTCCCATGCTGTGGCCATTGCCTTGTCGTGCAGGTCAAGATGCCAGCAGAGTCCATAGGCGGTGGCGGACCTAAGACTGGACCATGTCAGGGTATGACCTATCCAGTGGGCGACCCATGTCAGGCAGAAGCCAACAAAGAGCCATGCGATAGGGCCAAGTGACGCACTGGCAGACAGTGGCTCCAAAGGGGAGGCACAGTGCCTGCTGGGGCGGTGTGGACTGTAAGAGGGGTTTTGGGGTGAATGTTGGAGGGGAGGTTGTGGGCTGTAGATGGTATGGTGGTGGAGGGAGTTGGGTAGGGTGTGTTTGCTATGGGAGGCATGATGGTGGTGTGGAGGGTGTAGTCTCCTGTGTGTTGACTGTTGGGTCGTGTGCAACTCAAGCACAGGGAGTGCTTGTGAGGTGGTGAGGAGGATTGATTCAAGGAATCTATTCAAGGAGGACATGCTCTGGGGCACTGGCATCAGGGTATGGATCAAAGCTGTTGGGTGGGGATGGCCACTGGTTCAGAGGCTGGGTCCCAATCTAGTACAGTTACCACAAACTGCCAAAAGGAAGGGATCAAAGCAAAAGGCTGATAGGGATTCTTTCAGGGAGGACTGGAGAAGTCACGCTATAGCCAGTAGAGGCAGTGGTGGGGGATCAAGGGGTGTTGTTGGTTGATGGGGCTGTGTTATTGGTTGACACTGTGTTGTCTCAAAGGCTGGTACTCAATCTGGTGAAGGCCACCACAGACTTCAGCAGAGAGTCAAGCCAAGATTTGTAGAGGGTACTCGATTCAGTGGAATGGACAAAGACTGAGGAGTCACTCAACAATCAGCTAGAGAGGTAATAGGGTCAGGCGGGGTTGATATCTGAGCCACACCGCTGCAGTTCTGTCTGGGGCTCAATCCTTTGGAGTCAGACAAACTCAGTAGGAGAGTCAGGTGCAGGAGCAGAGAGGTGGCTGGTTCAATAAGGGGGTGTTGCACAATCTATATGTGGTACTAGAGGGCAACTTTTGTTGGTTCTTGTGGGGTGAGATCCTTTGGAGAGGAGCTGGTATCCCAGGGGGGGCTGTAACCAACCAAGAAAGCAGCGAGCCTGGAGATAGCAGAACTAAAGTCCTTACAGGAACTCTGTTGTTGTTTGTTGTTCCTCTGGGAGGGAGTTAGATATCAATGGGGGAGTGGTAACAGTAGCAGGAGGTATCAGTGCCAACAAGGACGTCGGGAGAAACCACTAGTGGCAGTGAAAAGTAAGAATACAGGTGTAATTCTCTTCTCGGTGGTCACTGCAGGTATTCGTGAAGTCCTTCTTGATAGGAGAGATTGATCGATTCACGAGTAGCGAGTCTTGGATTCGATAATTCGATTCGATTCGCGATTCGGATTCGCGATTCGGATGAGTCACGTTGCCTTAGGGGTAAGGTTAACCGAGCCTGTTGGTGTTGGTGGAGAGGAGGAGGATCGTTCGAAAAAGAGGATCGGTCGCAATGGGATTTCGTCGGCCGTCAGGAGCGGAGTGCAGAAAACAACAAATACGTATGGGAATTGTTTTCTGTACTGTGTGGGGAAGGCCGGAGACTTTCTTCTTGTGTTCAATTTCTTCCAATTGGCCGTCGGCGGTCGAAAATAGAAAAACCGCCCGATCTCGTAGGTTTCAATTGGGATGGCTTTCTAATCTGAACCGGGGAAGGCCGTTTTGATAGTCGCTTGATAGAGAGGGTGCGCTTGATAGGAATACCAGGGGAGGTGTCGATCCTGTCAACTGGAGGGCTTGAATGAAAGATAAAGAGAGGAAAAAGGGATGTGTGTTTTCTGTGATGACGTTGGGTGGATTCCTATAGTAAAACAGTACTCTTCAACAAGATACAGATAACAGGCTTCCTAGGTCCTTTCGCTTCGTTCAATGCTTCCAATGGGTCTAATAGGTGTGGTGTGGTATGGAAGTGACCGTCGTATGGTTTCGTTGTTGCTATTAGTGTTTTTGGTTTACAGATCCAGCGGCAGGAGTCAGTAGTTGCTCCCGCTTGAAAAGTGTCACCGAGCACTTTACGCACTTTTTTGGTTTTGTTGGTAACACGGCTGGATCGGTCTGGTGTCCATTGCCGATC